GGATGGCCCGTTTTGCCCGCCCCAGCCATGGCAACGCTGCGTTGCCAGGTAGTGGCCCTGTGACATGGGGGTGGCAGACCCACCATGTCACAATGGAGGGCCACACAGAAGGAAGGTCTTTGGGGTGCTGGCCCCGAGGAGGTCCCTGCGCCCAGGGGCTGGGAGCTGTCCCTGCCACAGTGGTCATGCACTGGGCACAGCTGGGACAGCCTGATGGCCTCCTTCTCCGTGACCCTGTGCAGCAGGCTCCCGGTGTCACCACGACAGGGCCAACAGTCAGGTCACAGCCTGGCTCTGGCCAGGGGCTTCTCCTGCTGTGCCACAAGTGGCCAGGCAGCTCATTAGCAGAGAGCAACATTGCCTGTGCTCAGCCTGGAGGGAGCCCTTCCCTTCTAGGACCCCGGGAGACCCCCTTCAGCGCAGGGATTGGGCACTCCTCCTGTAAGCCACATTCCCTCCCCAGGGCCCACGTGAGCACAAGATGTCATCCAAAGACCTGTCATGACCACGAGTCCTTGCAGTCATCTCCTGCTCTGCTCATCCTATTTATAGAACCATAGAATCATTTAGGTTGGAAAAGACCCTTGAAGTTATACAGTCCAACAGTAAACCTAACACCACCAAGTCTACCACTAAACCACATCCCTAAGCGCCATGTCATAAAGTTCAATGATTGGTCCACAAGCATGGGAAAGGCCCTGTCCAGCCTTGTACCTCTGCAGAGTCACCTTCCTGAGCAATGGCCATGGCCTGGGCTTCTGCAGGAGAGAGCAGCAGCACTTCTGGCATGTCAAGGGCTGCTACACTTCAGTGCAATGCTGTAAGCAAGATACCACAGCACATGTCACTGCACTGAATCTTTGTGCTGTGGACCCAACTGAGACAAGAAAAGGAAAGTCCTCGACAAGAAAAGCTAGCCTGAGAAGGCAGGCCAGCCTCTTTGCCGACTGCCATCTCGCACTGACCTGCAAAGTTGAAGTCATGCTTGTGTTCGTGGGAGCTCCCTTGTCACCACTGCATGAATACCATATTGAGACAGCCTCCAACCATCACATCACCCACTAGTCCTTCTCTGTTCACAAACAACAGGTCCAGCGGCCTGTTGGCTCACTCACCAGCTGTGTCAGGAAGTTGTTTTCCATACGCTCCAAGAACCTCCTAGGCTGTTTCCTCTCCACGGTATTGCACTTCCAGCAAACATCTGATAAATTGAAGCCCCCCACAATAACAAGGGCTAGCAATTGTGAGACTTCTGCCAGCTGCTCACAGAGTATTTCATCTGGCTCTTCATCCTGGTTGGGTGGTCTGTAACAGACTCCCACCATGATAGCTGCCTTGTTGGCCTTTCCCCTGAGTCATACCCATAAAACATTCCCTAACATAAAGGGCTACCTCACTGCTGCTCCTTCCCTGCCTATCCCTTCTGAAGAGTTTATAGCCATCCATTGCAGCACTCACATTCCATGTTCTTGAACACTCTTCAAAGACCTAGAAGGCTCAGCCCTCTGTTCACTAATAAAAAGACACAAACCTGTATTTTCACCACTGAAATATTTTCAGTTCAATACCATGAACTTAAGGTGCTTTTCCGAAGCCTGGAATAGAAATCAGTTAGACTTCAGTCCAGGATTTACAAATCCTCAACTGACTTTTAAATTCTCAAGCTTTTTCAGAAGGAAGCAAAAGGTAGTTTACAGCTCAATATAAAAAGTGGTCAGATACAATGATCACAACTCACTGGATCCTTGCTTCCTTATCAGTTGTTCCATTCGTCAAGTGCTTTAAGTTTTCATGAAATTGTATCTGATTATCACCAAAGGCCATGTATCAATTACTTCCTTGTTCCAAGCAATAGAAAAGCTCAGAGCACTGAAGTAGAGATTTGCAGTGTAAAAAAACATCTTTCTAAAAATTAAGCACTATTAAATTAAGCCACAAATATGACCGTAGCCTAACCACTCAAAACTTTACAAAGCAGTCTCCTCTTGGTGTTCCAGGTTTGGTTGTCCATTTCAAAACCTAAGAGTTAGCTAAACACTCAGAGCTAAATAAACACTCAAGTGCTCTTCAGTACACATGAAAATCAAGTGTCGTATGAAAAATAACTTGCAATCTCAAACTAGTCAATGAAGTTTGTGGGTTGGTTTTGTTTTGGTTTTGTTTTTTTCTTTAAACAATACTTTTAGATTCAGTAACCTTTAATGACAACAGGATAATATTTCAGAAGCAAGTTGTGTGAAGACATAAATATCTTAAATACCCCATACTACAGTATGAGTCACCACAGAAAGCCCTGCAAATATTCAGTAAAGCTGTACTTCTAGTAAGGTTCAAACAGATGTGGTTAACAAGATACGGAACAGTCTATCTTACAAGAAAAATAAAAATTGAACATCTGAAAACTGAATATATCCATCCTTAAAACTATACTACCTCAGTTAGTATCACTCATCCTGAAAACCCAGAGGAAGACATTCTCATATTATTTAATTTGTTAAAATAATCAATGAATCTGCACAGTGGCTTAATTCTGACATCAGTGATTCTGCAATTTTCATGTTTGAAATATCCTTCAAAAAAGCTACTAAAAGCTCCTAGAAAGTTACTGAAAAATACATGGGGGTGTAACGATCAGGTGTTAAAATTCCAAGTCTCAAAGAAGTTCTGAGGAGAAGTTTAATTTGAATAAAAGGAAAACATGAACTTGAAAAAACTTTTACTTGCAATAGTTCTGTAGATCTGTAAGAGCACAAGCAAATGAAAACATCTTCTTATGAAGCAGAGTGCTAGGATTCTGAACTAGAACTCTAGGAACCACTTTTGTCTATTAACTGTGTTCTCAAGTAAATATGCCCTTTTTTTATATCGTATCAAGTGCTCTACAGCTAGGAAGAATCATCTCTACTGAATAAGAGGTTGTGACTGAAGAACTATAAATCTTCCTTTTCTAGATACCTACCTGGCAAAATTAAGCACATTTATTGCATATGTCACAGTATCTGTAATGGCTTTTTTTCTAGGTGGCACAGACAGCATGGACTTTAATCCATGGAGACCCTGAGTAGACTTCCTAGTTACAAGCACGTGTATTGAAATCTCTTCACTCTATTATTATCATCATCATCAGGTGTATTACAGCATATAACAATATGACCTGTTAACTAAGCAAACATAACTGATACATTGAGGTAGCATTTAGAGTGACATGCTTTCAAATTCCTTGCCATTCAAAAAAATTAAAACTATTCAGCAGTTATTAAAATAACATCTTCCACTATTTCATCCAAGACTGTAGGAAAAGGAGGAAAAAGGCAAGTTTTAAAAAACTATCTTTATTTTTTTTGTCGTACATTTAAACATGTATTTCATTTTTAGACATCCAGCCAATGCTGACTTCATTTGTTTACACATGAAAAAGAAGGATATAAATGCAAATCATATTGGCATAACCTGAACGTATGTGAATGAACGTATGTAATGAACCTGCATTAGTACTGACTGCTTTGCTAGAAGAAAACCTTCTTCAGTATTAAAATCAAGCAGTTAAAAAAATAATGCTGAAAAGCAAGTGTCTAGATACTAGCCATTTCAGCAGATAAACACCTTTTATATATCCAAATATTTTCAGTCCGTAATATACATACTTTTTTGTTATGTCTATGGAGTTCAGATCATACAAACACTGTACAGGTCAAAAACCTCTGAGAAAAAAACTACTCAGGTGTGCGAGAAATACACATACCAGACGAACTTACAAATCTTACCAAGCAACAAATTTGGTCAAGTACTACAAAGAAGGATTTGTTTTCATATGAGAATGGTTAAGTAATCTCCTACCTTTTCGGCTCAAACTTTATGAGTTTGAGATAACACAAACTGGTGGAGTGGAAACTTATGACCTGTTATACAGTATATTTTTGTAGGCCAAGTTCAGGTTTTTTAAAACAAAAACTTAAGATCACAAACAGCAACAATGACAAAGATCAAAGTATACATATGAGCACATAATCCAAATAAAATACACTTTTGGCTGTTAAAGAAAAATAAATTACAACATACAATTAGAATCCTTGTAAATGTAATAAAGAATTCAAAGATGTGCATTTATTTTAATATACAGTTTAAATGCTACCACAAAACAGATTAAAAATAAATAAGTATGCCAAAGGGCATGTGTGGATAGAAAAAATGCTATTTAGATCTAGAAGAATTATAAAAACCGGAGATAATCTGAGTTTTGGTCAACAAATCTGCCTAGTCACTTCCATCTTCCCTTCTTCAGTATCTGACAGCTAAACATGACAAAAGCACACCTCTGTCAGTATGGCTTTAAAATAAGCATGTATTTTCTGAAGAAGAAAGTATAAAATGGGCTGCCTTTTCTACAGAGCTGCTGGTTTGTTCATGTTGCAGGCACTGCATTGGACTGTGGGGAAGTACCTGACACGTCCTTGCCATCCTACCATAGTAGTGACATTACACTGAAAGACAAGAAATTTCCAAGAAAAAAAAAAATCTCGGGAAATTTTAGGTGCTATGGGCTAGTACTCACTTCCACTGCATTTGTTTTCTCAATTAAGGACTAAAATAATTTACTCTAACATTAGATCTCTAACATTACATGGCACATCCATATTTTCAAGTTAAAGATGTTGTCAATCATCAATTACCTTAGTGAACATATAGGCTTTAATACTTATTCCACTTTAACCAGATTCATTTATTTCTTCTTTTAAAATTACTCTCTATATCTTTTTTTGAAGGTATTTCAATCTTACTAACATTACTGGAAGCACAACTTAAATTCTGTACTCTTTGTACAAACATTCTTGTCTTTTCTACTGTACTGCAGTTCCATTGTAGGCGTAACAAACGCACACTTTCAAACCCTGAGGCTACTGGAAATACTTTCTGTTCATTAGTATCGCCAGCATTTAGAAAACTGTCAACAATTAAATCAGCCTCCTCGGTATCTCTAGACAGTGACTGTACCATGGTATCACACACAGGATTTAATGCTGATACAACTTGACTACAAGCATCACCAGTAATACTGGGAGAAAAGGAAAAAAAAAAAAACCAAAACAGTGCAGGTCTCAGGAAAGAGAAGAAATCTGAAGATTTTATTATTTTTCTACATGGTTGTGCATCTGTATTTGTCTTCTGCATTCTTGAAGAAAACTGCTTTTGATATGCTCTTACGAACTCAAATAATACATTTATGACATCTGTCTTCAGCTAAGACACTGCTAGTACTTCCTATGACAGGAGAAATACTTTTCAAGTTTAGTTTTGCTGAAGATACTGTTCATTTGTACCATTTCATTGGTCCATTTGTTGATGGTCAAAGAAGCACTCATATTTGACAAAACCTTAAAGCTTTCAGAATAGATGAATTAAAGAAACAAAAGATGGATGCAGGAGAACCAAATCAAAGCACACAGGCATGACATTGTTTGCAAGGGAGTCCTTGGAAAACATGTGGCCATTACGGAGGTGGTTTTTTTTTTCTTTTTAAGGTCACAAGACAGTAGTTGAACAAAAAAGCAATTTCCCATGTTATCCTTGGTTCTAGTCATTTGTGGCGCTGCATGGTTTTTCTTTTCCTCCGCTTGAAAAAACAGCAGCACCTGCAGGCGTGACATGAATTACATATGATATAAAAAAACCCGCACAAAACTAAACTCTGTTTACTGTATTTGTTTCATTTGAACTATGTAGTTCAGGTATAGCCAGCACCATAAGGAACACACTAAGCTCTATTGCAGGTGATTGATTTATTAGTGAAAGAAACTCTGTAGAGATATTTTTGACATATTTTTGGAAAAAGGTATCAAAATAAAAAAAGCTATAATAAAAATAGCTATTAAGTTTAGAGTATTGTGTGAGGGTATCAAAAGCATGGGCATTATAGGCTACTTAAAAATATATTTGTAAGAATAAGGAATGTTCCATTACTCAAGTATTCTTTCACATTAACTGGTAATATGCCAAATAAACTTGAGGTTAAGATTTTGTCACCTGAACTGTACACTGAAGACACTACTGTTGCTACTACAAGAAAACAATTTGAGCTTCCTTTGTCAATCAGAATTTGGAAAAACCTTCCCCAAGGCTATTCCCCGAAATATTTTAGACCTAAGTGTTCACGAACAATATAATTAATGTTCTGATTCAGTGCTGTGATGATATTAGTACAGTGAAAAATCACAGCTTGAAGTATACTGAAGTATACTGACATTGTTTCTTCTGCTTTAGTGCATGCTACATGAAGGAAACTGAAATTGACAAATACTGCAAATTTTACTTAGCAAATGGAGACAATCTGAAAGTAACTGAAAAGAACACTACAAAAGGAAAAAGAACTGGAGGGAGTTAGAGATAGATAATACAGAGAACTACAGAAATCCAAGAAGTATTTTTGAAAATAAAGATGAAAGTAACAAATACACAAAGAAAACCTTTTAATTTGCATGTGTTAGCCTTATTTTAAGCACCACCACCTTTCAAATTAAAGCTTCCACTTAGTAAAGTATTCACAATTTGCAACCAAAAGTAAACATGCAAGCTGTCTACCTTAACAAAGCTTGGAGTTCTGCAGTTGGGTTACTGAATTCTCACTTGCAGTGCTATATAGTCAAGACTCTTTCTCAAACTATGAATTACAACTGAAGTGAAAATATAAGTGTACTGCATCAATAAACTATCAGTAGGTCCTTAAGTTCACCAAACATTTTATGTCACTACAATTCAAAAGGAATCCTGCTTGGTTTAGTTTGCAATACAGGAAACGGGGAAAGCATTTGGAAACCAGGGAGAATAAGGGTCTAAAAATAAGGTTCTACAAGGGGAGAGAACAACATCCGAAGCGAGGGGAGACAGAAGTTACCTTCTCAAAATATCCAAGGGCACCCTGTCGCTCAGTCACTGAAAAAGTAGCAGTGGGCAGAGGCAGACCAGAGCTGCTCTGAGAGTTACATAACTTTCAGTAGAAAAAAAACACTGGTTATTGATGGACAGGAAGCCTAAAATTACAATTCAATAGGGGAAACTACATAGATAAGATATTTTTACAGCTAGCAGAAACATCATACTGTATTTATTAACTTTAAAGTACGTCTAAAAGAGACACAATTGTTTTTGAAGGCTAGTAGCCACCAACTGCAACTGAAATTACCCCATCACTACTAACACTTTTTCTTAGCATCTGTCTGCAATCACTAACATCCATTATCACTTAAGCTTTGCATTTATATGCAGAGGTATGGAGTCCGATTTAGTTTAATCCTTCTTTCACCTCAATCTTTTCCCAAGTATTTTATATAAGTATATACAACAAACATCGTATCAAACCAAAGCATTTTACAGTGGTCCCTCCCTTTCAACGTGAATTATCTTATGATCCTGTAAATGAGGAAATCCTACCCTGGACTGCGATGGCAAATCACTTTTGTACCTGTTTCTTTTCTGTACCTTTAAAAGGCCTCAAAGAAAGCTTACAGAAACATTTTGTCTCAATTCAGAATTTTAGTACATACAGAACACGGGTTACATAAGTAACTGTAGGAAGATGGAAATGTGGCAGACAATTTATGTTCTAGAAAAACAATCTAGAATTTTAACTCTTCACTGCTTAACTATGTTTTGCTTATATAGAGTATGTCTCAAGGAACAACAGATCACACTTCTTCAAAGTTTAGGAATGCTTGGATCCTCTGTGCAATTCAAGTACACTTTAGGTTTTCATGCCTGTCTTCCCAGAAAATTTTAACCCATCCCTGCTGCAAATCTCATACTGTGCTTCATTCCTTCTCCATAGTCTATTTAGTTTGCTACTTCTCTGTCAACCAGAGAAGGGCATCATGCAATGGGGAATTCAAGAGTTCTATCTTTAACCAACATAAAGCACTACTTTTTAATCTTTTGGTCTTCTGGGGTTTGCATAATACTATTACAAAGAGTATGATTTCTAAACAGGTTTTTTTTTTTTATTATAAGAACTATTCAACTGTATTCTACTTCAGGGAATTTCACTAAATGCTGAAGACTTATTTCGTGTGGGAAAATAAATCCCCAATTAATATATAATATATCTAAAAAGTACTAAAGGAATGCAAATTCCATAGAGCATTGTAAACTACAGGACTGGCTTGGAAACTAAGTGAAATGTGTGTTTATCAGCCTAGAAGTGCTAGACCTGTCAAACCGTGCAAGGACAAATAAGTGTCATTTTAAAATACACGCACATTTACATGGGAATAAGACAGGTCAGACTACATTGCCTGATAATAAATTTTATGGAAGAAATGTAACCCTGAAATTAGAGCTCCGTAGTGCATAATCTCTTGAAGAGTGTAATTTATAATAGAAATGCAGACATGATCTTAAGACTAATGTCACTAGAGGGTGTCATTATCACTTTTTTATATATATATTACATTTCTTGAAGCCATATTTAAAGATGGGGCATTATTAATGAGTATTAAACCACAAATTTACCGTATTATTCAATAAGCATGCAAAAAGAATAGATATGCTTTGAAAATGTCTAATTCTAGGAAAGGAATTTTTTTCTTTTTAAAGAAAGCATTTAGTGACTGCTAACCTCTTTCTCTGTTGGGTGTAAAACATTTCTATAGCAGACAGTGTAACAGCAATTTATGAAACTTGAGAAACAATTTACTTTTCCTGTACAATCTAAAGTGACCTTTGAGACATTATGTAAGGTAGCAATCTCAGTATTGTGGTTACAAACACTTCTTGTTCTTCTTAAAGTATTATCATATCTTTTTTCTGTTAAATAGCCTTCCCTCTACTACTTGAGCAGTCCCTTGCCACAACATGCTAAAGCACCTTCGGTTTTCTTATTTGTGTTTAGGTAGCTGTGGTTTTATATATTTGTCATCCAGCATGTGGCAGCACTTTACTGCAGGATTATTAACAGGTGTTTAAAGTGGCAAAAAGAATGCAGGATGCAAAAAGGACAGATCATCTTTTCCTTTTGTCCTTCTCCGTCCCCCCATGGCAGGGCCTTTTGGTTATCCAAATTACATGTGCTTCATAAAAGCAATTGTTCTGATGGCTAGCAAAGAGTTAAGGAAAGAAAGGCTAATTGCTCAGTGATAACTGGAAGCCCATCTGTAGAATATAAGATTTACAAGTGTCAGGGCAGAACACTGATCAGTTTAGTTTTCTCCCTGCTTTAAAACTCCAGTAACAACTGAAGTAGCACTGAAAGCTACTTCTCCAAAAAAAACCCACCTCAAGTCTTTTGATAAAACGTTGTCTCCTCAAAACCAAAAATGTCTGTTTCAGACTTGAAAGATACTCATACTTGCATTTCCTTAACACTCTTCAGCAGTGTAAAATCTATAAATGGATGTTTAAACGTCTCAATACCTTTTGATATTAAGCTTGTAACTATCATGATAAAATGTAAAATTACCTAAAGCAGGATATTGAGACTAGATACTTTGTAACAACAGTAAAGGCTATGCCAAAAAGGTAAAGGATAGCGTATCTGTTCCTTTAGCTATCAAGAATATTTTTCTGTACTATTTTGCAAGTCTGACTTTACTACTCAAATATACATGTACACATTAGTTGTCCATCCCATGCTAACAGGCTGTAATATTTTCCCCTTTCATTACACTTACATTACTCTTTCATCCCTCCAGATAAACCTAGGTGCTCAATTGCCTCGCTGAAATGCCTCTACACCAATGTACACAGCATGGGGAACCAGCAGGAAGAGCTAGAGTTCTGTATGTGGTCACGGGGCCATAATCTCATCGCAATTACAGAGACATGGTGGGACAACATGCATGACTGGAACACTGCCATCGATGGCTATGTACTTTTCAGGAAAGACAGGCCTAAGAGGCGAGGCAGTGGAGTCGCTCTTTATGTAAAGAGCAACTGGAACATATAGAACTCTACCCAGGAGTGGATGAAGAACAAGTTGAAAGCTTGTGGGTAAAAATTAAGGGGCAGGCCAGCATGGGGGACACTGTGGTGGGTGTTTACTACAGACTACCCAACCAGGATGAGGAAGTAGATGAGGCCTTCTACAGAAAGCTAAAAGTAGCCTCGCAATCGCAGGCCCTGGTTCTCATGGGAGACTTCAACTATCCTGATATCAACTGGAAGGACCACACGGCAAGGTGCACACAGTCCAGGAAGTTCCTGCAGAACATCGATGACAACTTTTTGACTCAGGTGGCAGAGAAGCCAACAAGAAGTGGAGTGCTACTGGACCTTGTGCTGGCAAATAAAGAAGAACTGGTTGAGGATGTGAAGGTATGGGGCAGGCTTGGCTGCAGTGACCATGAGATGGTGGAGTTCCGGATTCTGAGAGGTGGAAGCAGAACAACAAGTAGGACGGCCACACTGGACTTCAGGAGAGCTAACTTTGGCCTCTTCAGAGACCTACTTGGAAGAATTCCATGGGCTAAGGCTCTTGAAGGGAGGGGAGTCCAAGAGAGCTGGCTGCTATTTAAACAGCTCTTCCTCCGTGCTCAGGATCAGTGCATCCCTGTGAGTAGGAAATCAAGTAAATGAGGCAAGAGGCCTGCATGGATGAACAAGGAGCTTCTGGCGAAACTCAAAGAAAAGGGTAAGCTCCATGGAATGTGGAAAGAGGGTCAGGCCACTTGGGAGGCATACAGGAATGCTGCCAGAGCATGCAGGGAAGCAACTAGAAAGGCCAAGGTTCACCTGGAACGAAGTCTGGCAAAGGACATCAAGGATAACAAGAAGGGCTTCTTCAAGTATGTCAGCAGTACACGTAAGATCAGGGGTAATGTGGGACCGCTGCTGAATGAAATGGGTGCCCTGGTGACAGAAGATACAGAGAAGGCGGAGCTAC